CGATGATCAGTGGGCGTTTATCGACCAAGGCATGGCGAAATCAAACCTGGATCGCCTAACACCGCATGTTTGTGCTCCCAACAATAACTTAAAGTGTCCAAAGATTTTTGTCACAAAACGCAGTAAATAAGTTTTCGCCTTATCAACGAGTTGGGACGGTAACTAAAATTGCCGATATAGTATCGCAAAGATGAATGTAAAAAGCAACCTTATAAAATCTAAAGCATATAGCAATATCCTTTTTCTACAATATAATTTCGGCTTGTGTGTAGTTAGGAAACGAAACAGACAGAGGATTATCAATTTTCTTTTAATCTTAGCATATATTCGGTGACTTCTTTTTGCACCCGCAAGCAATTGGGTCAACTCAAGCTGTGGAATAGGTTATATGGCTTGAACTGGTCGGTGCCTATCCAAACGAATGAGGGAAATCCTACCGACATGGCTGAGGAAAGGCGAAGTTAAAAGCATTAACAGCGCTACGAGCGCACACACTGCTCATGTCAGACATTCTGTGGACCCTAACGAAACCTGGCGAATGACTTTTAAGGTCCAAATAAGTTAACCGAGTCAGTGTGATAGCGTCTACCAACGACAGCAGAAGCGTCCGCTATTAGGTTAATGAAGGCGGTGCTGTGTACACAAAAAACCTTTGCAAGTTCCCCGCCTAAGACGGCCAACAGTCACTTAACGTTATGCACTTTTATGCGCTCCCTTAACCCTCCATCCTCTCTCCGGAACGGTTCCACAAAAACTCACCGCCGCGCAACCAGGCCTTCTATGGACCACCACTCTCTTCCCCTATTTCCATGACTCACTTAAATGAAATAACAAATATACTTGACCTTTGACCCCATTTCGATATGAATGTAATTGCCCAATGAGAATTAATGGAAAGGTAACATATGCTCATCAACTGCTCTTCGGATAAAAAATTAAATCTCCTTGCAATTGTACTAGCCTATTTCAACGGTTAGGCCGATTTTGTCGTTTGTGTTACCTCCACCTTAGTCCAAGCACAAGCCCTCGTAATAGATTCTAGCCTACCATGAAGCACGCGGTGAGCATCTTTCAGGCCGATGGGCCAACAGTAACGCGGCCTGTGATGAGACATACAACTAGGGGCTATGATAAGGAAGTGATTGTTTCCGCTAGACAACCAATTACCCATCGATCTCCGACCGCTTTTCTCTTGCCACGCGTATGATGATCCGTTTTCTACCAAACAGGTGTGGTTTAGAGTCAAGTACTCTCCTTACTGAGTCCATTCCGAGGAATGTGACGAAGCCACAGCCGACTGTTCGCGACTTGCTCGGGTTCCGCAGGACGTTGATTTCGGTGATAAAACCAAATTTGGAGAAGTGTTTAAACAAATCGCTGTCCTTTGTACCATCGGGCAGAAGTTTGATAAAGATCCCTTTAGAGTTCAGGTGCCAGTCCCTCTCCATTCGTCTAAGTAAGTGAAAATTAAGCAACGGAAATGGGAACAAGCTCTATTTCCTTATTGCAATTAAGATGAACGCGTGGTTTTGTTTTATTTTTATTCGTCTTAGCTTTTAGCCTCATGCATGTGCCCATAACCAGACTCTTTGAGGATATTTACAGGAAAGACGTTCTTTTGGAAACAAGATTAATTCATTCAGTACATCTCAGTCACTGGATTCCCAGCTCGTAGTCAGTATTCAGAAGATGTGTAACGAGCAACAAAATTTTCAAACGAACCAAAAAGTCAAAAGTCATTTTGTGTGAACGCTAATTGGCGGGTGGCATTTGTATCAGTTTGTACCTAGTGGTTCTCGTCTCTTTCATCTTTCTTTGAGATATTTGCAAAGTCCATTCGACTTGAGATGTCGGTTGATGCATGAATAATCGGTGGGCACGGCCTCAAGAAATGATCGGCCTTTTTGGGGGAACAAACTCCGACTATGCGTGTTTTTTTTCCATGCAAAGGTGGGTCCTGTATGAAGGCTATGCATAGTCACTTCTGATAAATGGTCACGTCGTTTTACTGTTAGTTTGTGCTCGTGGATGCGCGTGGAGGTGGTCATTCGAGTTTTGCAGAGGCATGTGGTATTACAAATTTCGCATGAGGTCTTGCATACGACGTCCTACTTATCGATATAGCTAACCTGGTCCTTTGGGTGCATAAAGTGGCTGCCGGTTTGTGCGCCACTTTATTTTGTATCTCGCCAGTGCCTTTCATATATTTGTTCTTGGCGCCTGAGTAGAACTATGTAGTTCTTCTCCTCTGGACTGTTGTTATTTCATGCGTCGGTGTACAAAGTCACAAGGGTAACCATCGCAAGAAAACAAATCTAATAGATAATTAAGCTCGGCTAGGTAGGCTTCTTTGTCAGAGCAGTGTATCTTCGCTCGGCGTTGCAGACTGTTGACGGCACTCCTTTTATGAAAGATGGGGCTGTTTCTATCATAGTTAAGAATACTTTCCGCATACGTGTATTTGCGGTGAACAAACGTTTGTAATGTATCATCAGTATTTTGCTGCACTAAAATATCCAGAAACGGGAGTTGACGGTTAACCTCCTTCTCGAGTTTGAATTAAATTCCTGGAATGGTTGAAGTAATAGTGTCGTGGGGCGTTTCTGGTTGGTCCTCTTTAAAGACCACAAATGTGTCCTTTGCATATCGTACCCACGACTTCGGGCTAACCAGTGGGGGAGCTGTCGATTCCAGCTTGTATGACTGACCCCATTGGAGTTTCTTCTAATTGTTGACAGTATTGACGGTTAAATGAAAAAGTGGTTTCTACACAAAGGTCTAGGGCAGCTGCAGGAACTTTCGTTTTGTAGGCTTTTAGGACTTCCTCTGTGCACTGTCTTGCTACATCGAATGGTATTAAGGTTAACGGACATTGTACAGTAGATTTCCTATCTCATAACATGTCAACCGACATTCTAAAATGCGGTTTCGGTTGCAAAAATATTCCTCAAGTAGGATTCTTATATTGATTATCGTACAGTTTAATTTCAAGATATTGCAGTCAATTGAGGATACCAGCTTTTGCACTAACTTCGTTCTGATCACTTGCAAAAGGAGCACTCTACATAGAACGGCTAATAAAGTACTATGCATTTTATCATTTATTTTCAACGCCCCTAAAAACGTAACGTTGTTCCATAAAACAATATGGACACAAATACTTTCTCATGTACTCTTTTGGTGGGAAATTACGCCCTCTTCAAATGTTTATTTGAATAAAGCGGATCTTGCGGCTTAAAATATTGTAATCATGAGACTTTTAAAGACCGTTAAATCTTCATTAGAGTTGCGAAAATTCCCATCACGGAATTCAGAAGACTAGTTTGGCGGGCGTACGTATACTTTCGATAAATTCTCTTCAGGCCAGTGCGATGGGGGTCGATAATATTCGTCTTTTCTCAAAAGCGAGTCGTGGAAATCGGGGGAATTGGTTGATAAGAGAAGCACGGTAGAGCCGGTCTAGGGAAGGAGAAGGGCAGGGAGGGGCGGCAGACAACCAGAGGGTGGATGAGTGCATGTCGCTAAGTGAATGCGGGCCACACCAGATGCGGGGATTGTAGGAAGTTCTTTTGCGCACACAACGCCGGCTTCATCAACCTGATACCGGCCACTTCTTCTGTTCCTAGCAGGCGCTGACCCAGGGACTTCGGATAACTTTAACTTGTACCCCCTCCCATATAAATATATTGACCTGAAGATAATTTATGGAAAGTATACGTACGCTCGCCGAACTAGTCTTCTGAAATCTTCATGCGTAATATATCCCACCCATCAAGTTGTTGATGTTTCAAATATTATGAGACCTAGGCGAAATTCCTTGCAGCTAGATAAATGTGTGATTTTGCCTAGAATGCATATAGCCTAAGGCTCTGAAACCTTGAATTAAACTGTTACGACCGACACGGCTTAAACGTAATCAGGCATGCATAATTTTTTTAAACCGCAAGGTACACTTTTTTCAAAAATATGTTTTCTGGAAAATATATTTGAGTTTGTAAGAGGCGTTTGTAGTGCAGAATTAGCCCAAGATGATCCATGCGCTTCTACTGGAATTAAAACTACTGAATTGTTTGAACATCATTTCAAATCTTAGCAGCAGCACGTTGATGCCACAAGCCGTTGACCGGACTAGTGAGTTAAGAAGGATTCAACCACGTCGGTACATAAGAGAGTGCTCACGTTTGGTCCCCTGCATGGTCAGCCTGAGTTTTTGTTGTAAACGACGCCAATTGTTCACACACGACAGCCGAATCGGAGGTCACGAGGGCTAAGTCCTGCAGCTGCAACTGAACCTGTAGTTCATTAGCAATAGAATTAAAGTAAACGTTTCACTGTCTACTAGTACTGCCGAAAGATCTCCAGAAGCACCTACTTGATTACGCTGATGCGTATATACGCATTTTAGGTCTTCCGTAATTATAACTTGTCTTAGAACATACTGAATTCTTAATTGCGTGCGGGTATTGCTACATAAATAACTATCTGCAGGCATGTTGGTGTTCATAGAAGGAATCAATTTGCAGAAAAAGGGAACTGTGTGATTTTTCAACAAATTCGATCTCTTACACCAGACTACAGGATAAGGGTCGGTTTCGAGAGGTGAAACAGGTTGGACAGCAAACTCCAACAAAGAACCCTAACCCTAACAGAGAAAATTACCATAACTTCTCGTCCCAGTAAATAACTCTAATGATACACTTACTGCCAACCAAATCTCTAACTGTAACAAGAAATTGAATTACATAGGTAATGAAGAAGGATGTCCGACCACCGGCTCGATTTGTTTACTATTCTGAACTTTCGAACTCTTACAAAAGATCGATAATTTGATCTGAGAACTCGTCCGGACCGCTCTCTAGAAATAATCCTAAGAAGGTACAGCTTACTGCTCCCTGTTAACGCAAACGTGTAAATTTTCGTAAACTGAACGCCTCCCCAAAACTCTTCTCCTTTAACAACCCCAAACATACTGGAAAGCCTTTTCCAGTAAAATCGGTCCTATTTACGATACTTGTCGATATCATATCCAAAGAGTGAAGCAAATTTAAGCCAATCACGTCCCTTGGAATCCTCTTTCCGATTTTATCAATAATGAAGGAATCCTAATAGGTACCAAGTTTTATAGAAAGGCATGTTCTGGACTACACAACATACCGATTCAAAATTTTGAGCCAGCTCCAAATTCTTAAAGCCGACACCTTCACAAGATTCTACCGACTTCTGGAAATCCTCGACGCGATCCAAAACCCTTCTCGTGGACTGTTCCCACTCCTTCAGGGCGGTAGACCTCTGGAAAAGAAAAACAGCTCGTGCATGGGTTTCCGAGCCTTCAGTTATTGACAAGAGCACTTACTATCGCAGCACTACAGAAAATTCCCATCAGAGAATTCAGAAGACTAATATTTATGCTTTCGATAAATTCTCGTCAGACCAGTACATTTATATAGGTACGGAGTGTAGACTAAAGCGTAGTCGTATGTTCATACAAGTGAGTGGTGGGAATGGGGAGCGGGGGGATGAATACGAGAAGGTTGGTTATGAGGACGGGGTTTAATGAAGCAGTCTAGGTGAGGGAGGGAAGGGGGGACAGCTTCGCGATCGCTGCAACCGAAACCAATGTAGACGCACTTTTAAATGCTGTCAACTAAGCACATCTCTCTATTAAGTTCACGTTGGAGGTGGAAACGGCAGGTTCAAATGCTTTCTTGGACGTCCTCCTAAATCGCAGACCTGACGGTAGCGTCCGAAGGAACGTTTACAGAAATAAAGCCTGGTCTGGGCAGTGCACAAATTTTAACAGTTCCCGTACCCCTTCAATGAAAGCGAAATCTTGTTCGCTACTTAGAACAAATGGTTAGAAAAATTTGCTCAGTAGACAGTATTGAGGAGGAGCTCAAACAAATGCAGGACCTACTTCGCGAGAACGTGTACCGTAAGAGGTTTATTACAAGGAACATGACTGCGAAACAATAAAACCTACCGTACTTACTGTGGAAAAGAAAACACTCTTCTAGGCATTACCGGCAGAAACATTGGGATTTGCATTATAGCTATTTCGACCTC